TTAATTTTTTTATATAATATATTAGATTTTCTCTAAAATATAAACTTGAAAAATCAAATTAAAATTATTAAAAATAAATAAAAAAATATTAATTATTTTATTACTTATTAATTATTATAAACAATCAAACAAATTAAAATGAATTGAGTTTAATAAAATAGTTGATGATTACAACTACACTCCTTAACTTCTCTACGAATATCTTCTCATATCTAAATAGTGGTTTAATTGACAAGAGCATGGTTGTCAAAATTATGATTTAATTCGTAAAATTATATGATTTTACCTATGCAATTCTTGTAAAATTGGAATTAAAATCAGGATTCTATAAACTCGGGATAGTAATATCGTAAAATGGATAAAATTGGAATTATCATATTGGTACACAAACTTGATTCAACACAATTTAGATGTAATGCATTGTGAGAAAAACTTTTTTGATAATATCCTATATACAGTAGAGGATGGTCCAATGAAAAAAGACAACATAAAAGCAAGACTTGATCTAGAACTGTATTGTAAAAGGAAAAGTCTCCACATACCCAAAATAAGATCGGATTTGAGTAAAAAAACCTAAGGCCATTTATGTTCTAAGCAGAGATTAAAGAAAGTCAATATGTTAGTGGTTAAAAGAACTTAGAGTCCCTGATGGGTTTGCATCCAACATATCTAGGTGTGTGAATATGCAAGAGGCACGATTGTTTGGTATGAAAAGCCATGATTGTCACATTTTCATGCAGAACCTCCTACCAATTGCATTTCATGATTTACTACCAAAACAAGTTTGGGAGCCTTTTGTTGAGATTAGTGAGTTTTTTAGGGCCTTGTGTGCTCTTGTGGTTCGGGCCAATGACATGGCAGTGTGGCAAGAGAAGATAGCAGAAATCATTTGCCAACTAGAGTGGATTTTTCCACCTTCATTCTTTGACTCTATGGACCATCTTACGATCCACCTCGCATACGAGGCACATGTATGAGGATCGGTGCAATACCGGTGGATGTATCCATTTGAGAGGTAACTATTACTAATTTATAATTGATGTCCATATGAATATACGTCCATATCTTATTTGTAGAGAAATTATATTGTAATTCTTAGTGAATCAGGTGAATGCATTGTCTTAAGTTGACGGTTAAAAACAAAGCATGCCCAGAAGCATCCATATGTGAGAGTTACATAATGTTTGAGATCACGAACTTTATCTCACATTACTTAATGAAGGAGTTGACAATAGAAGTGACTGGCCCCCAAGGAATATTGTTGGTGGATTTGATGCAAAATGTGGATTGTCCATCTTTTGATGTGTTAGGAAACCTATTGGTTCCAAGATTATGAGATGTTGCTTAACGGTAGAGGAGCACAAAGTTGCTTCCTACTATGTGTTAATGAATTGTGAGCAATTGTGGGGATGGATCAAGTGAGTAACTCTCTCTAATTTCTCATATTAGTTTGTCATCTTAATTTATGTGAAATTAATATACTAACAATGAAAAATTATATAACATTTTATAGTTTATTTGAGAGAGCATTGTATGAATATGAATCCTTAACAAATTCAAACAAAATGAGAGAGAGATCTTATTCTTTGGTTTGAACAAGTCATGAGTATTATTCCATATGACAATATTCCATTTCTTAACATATGTTTCCTTGCAAAGACATATATCATTATTTTCCCAAATATGTTTGTTTTGGATGAGAAGTGATGAGTTCATTAATGTCCATGAGCACATAAAAGGCTTGTCTAGTGGTTCAAAAAATATCATTTCATGTTATAATGGATATATTATCAATGGATTTAAATTTCACATTGTCGCCTATGGTAAAAATAAGAGAACAATGAATTATGGTGTTTGTGTTGTGGGATCCATTGGAATTGAATTAGACTATGATTTCTATGGGGCGCTTCAAGAAGTCATTCAGATTGAGTACTTTGGATCAATCCATCGACAAGCAATTATTTTATTCAAACATGATTGGTATGAGATTCCTTTAGCTCAAGGGGTTAGGGTCAATAAAAAACATCAACTAGTTGACATTAATCCAAGAAGATACCTTCGATCCTATGAGCTATTTATTCTAGCTAGTCAAGCCAGGCAGGTGTATCACACTCCATGTCCATCTATTAATCATCAAAAAAAGGGTTGGGTTGCTGCCCTTAAAATTAGGGCCAAAAGCATAATTGAGGCTCTAGAGAATGAGGTTAGCCACCAAGAAGGATTAGCACCATATTATCAGGATGATGACCCTCCTATTCCCCACCCAATAAATATTTGTGGGATAAGTTATGAACTTGTGCAACATTATGATGGAACACTTATTGAAGTACATGAAGAAGTTGATGGTGGGGAAGACATTGGAGAAGAGGATGATGAAGGGGAGTGGGAAGACTTTGAAACATTTGATGAAGAAAACATGGAGGCTTATATTTCTAAAAATGATAGTAGTGATGAGTAAGTAAAATTGTTGTCAAAACTAGTTGTTATTACATTAAGTTTATATTTGTTTATTTGTACTTCAAAAACTATATTATTTATATTATTTTTTAAGTGTAATTTGTTAATATTTGGTTGTTTGTATTGCAATCATGATGTTTATTTTATTTTGCATGTTTTGTATTGTTATAATTATATTTATTTTAGTTTGCATATTAATCTTAATCAATTAAATGCTCTAATTATATTACATGTATTGTGTGTTTTTTATTATAATTTGTTGACACTTTCTAGTTTATATTTATATAATTATATTTATTTTATTTAGAATGTTAATTTTAATCTATTAAATAATTAGATATTAATCAAATAATATAATTATTTTGCTTGTATTATCTTTTTTTTTTTTCAAGCTGTAAATTGGTTTATATTTGATAGTTTATATTTGTATAATTATGTTTATTTTATTTGGTATGTTAATTTTAATCTATTGTCTTTAAGTTAATTTACTAATAAACTTCTTTTTCTTTTTATTATTTCTACAATGGACTATTGTAGTTCATGGTGTATAGAAACAGTTGATGCATCTTAGCCTAATAGGCATTCAACTTAGTTCGATCCTCAACGTCAAACACAAGAGGATGTTACACCTAATATAGTTCTTAAGATTGTTGTTGATACTGTTTTTCATAGTTCTAGTAGTCTAGATGATACAGAGCTGGCACCCCATCAAAGAAAGGGATGAGGAAATGCAAAACCAATAAAAATGCTAGCAGATGGCAATAAAATTCCATTGGTGCTTGATGATGAGGGTAACATCTCACAAAATATTAGGTGAGAAATTGTGGTGCAATTAAAGGTGAATCTTTCAGATGCTTATACTTCATGGGGATTCGTTCCACAAGAGCATCATGATTTTTATTAGAATCAGTTTTGCATATAGTCCATCATTTAAATTATTCTATTTAATTTCCAAATAGGCCTAATAACTTTTAAACTATTCTATCCTTTAAATTATTTATTTATTTAATTTTAAAATATATTTGTAATTATTTCTAACACATTTTCATTTTTTTTTTCTTAGCAAAAATTTCAATGGGAACCAAAGATTCATCAAAGGGTAAAAACATTGTGGGGTCAAACATGTAGTATCAAATTCAAGCATGCATTAAATGAGCTAAAAATCGACTGTGTAGCAGATAATATTCAAGTAAAGCCCCCAAACATGAATCCTGAACTCTTTTAGAAGCTTGTTCATATATGGACCGAGGTAATTGAGTAAAGTATTATGTTAACATTTTTAAATATTAGCAATAGTGAACTAACTCTAAAAAGTTTGGACCAAAACTAAAGAAAGATTGACGAAAGTAGCCAAAGTAACAAAGAACAACTTGTTAATATATGAATTGTTTGAGAAATTTATTATCATTGTGTTTGACTTTAATTTGCAAACTAAAATGAAGAATCCATAATTGCATACAAACTACTTTAAAAGTAAGAACACAGTTCAAAAAATGGTCATAACAGAGAAAGTAAAGAAAGTTGAACAAAGGTAGTCAGGAAATTGGTACAACACCTGTTTGGAGAAACCTCAAACTTGACAATTTGAGCAAAGTCAATCTCATGAACTCTGTGAAACATGATTCTAAAGCTCAAGTGATTGTTGATAAAGTACTTCTCCTTCTTGCTCTATGTTGAGGGATGAATTTGTATTGCTCTAACATTGGAGACACATGTGATCCCACATCAGCAAGGGTCCACATGACTTATCTTCCATATCAACCATGCTATTTTCTGTTGATTACTGCAACAGAGTTAGCATCGCTAGGAGAGGCATTTATCAACTTTGCTGGAAACACTAAAGAGCATAGCTCACTCCATCATCTATTTCTACATAAATGGCTAGACATGGCTAGATTTATTTCCATGACATGGCTGGACACTTTTGAAAATCATGTCCTTCACAACGATATTCACTATTATATCTTGTGGCTCCCAACAATGGATAAAGAGCCAACTTTGCTGCACATACATGGCTCCTATCGATGGACAATGGGATGAATCTACATAGCTCTCAACGATGGACAAAGGGCTGGAATTGTCATTTAACCTCTAAAATGGACAAAAGGCTACATACTTCTACATATCTTCATCACATTAGTTCCCGACAACGGACAAAGGGCCAGATCTTTATACATTTTATCTCATTGGCTCTCAGAAATGGACAAAGAGTCAGTGCAACTTGGTACGATTAACGTGAGGTCAGTTTTAGTTACAACCCTTTGATTGGATGAGATGGCTACCTTCTAGCGATAAAAATCCATCAAGCAATGGTCGGTGGTCCTTTGGTGGTCACCCGTGCATGGTGGTGCGGTGCTTGGTGGGCAACAACAACTAGGATCACCTTCCAAGATCACCTTCTAATGGTGCAAGTATGGCAAGAAGGGCTAGCATTTGTTAGCGGTATCACACCTTGTTGTATTGGAGGCCATGAATGTGGCTGGCATCCCTCTTTCATGGAGACAACTCCACCTTTCTCTAGATATCATATTCATCGCTATAGCGGAGTCTGGCTTAGTGAGATATACCCCTTTGCAACTTGGTGGATTAGTGGGGGTGCTCTTCTGATTCCATATAGCTCATGCTCCAGCCATGGATAAAGCTAGCCACTATTGTCCCTATGGCTATGAGAAAGCTATTCATGGCTGACCCTAAGATACTTGTGAGACATGGCCACTGACCATGTACCTCATTACTCTTTCATATTAAAGGACAAAATTATCGGTCGCCGGTAATCCTGACTCATAACATATTTCTTCCATGTTCCATGTGTTAGTAGGTATCGTCGACGAGCAATGCTTGGATCGGGACAACGATGTCACAACACACATCAATATTGCTTGCCTTTTATCTTAGCGCAATGCTAGCCATCTTTAATAGCAGCATACAAATGTTCACCATGGCCACGGGATGAAATAGTGCAGCCATGTTCATTCTCATCATCTCTTTGAATGCATAAGGGAGTATCCTTCTTTGCTGCACATATTTGTACATTTTATATTTAAATATTTGAACATATACTCACCAATATTCTATCTTCGCTACAGATGGGCACGAACCCATAAATCCAAGCTCATGGGAAATATTTGGGATAAACTTTGGGAGTAGTGGCTTGGTAGGTAGGGATGGGTGAACGTTGCTTGTCTGGCAAAGTAGGGTATCTGCACCAGCAAAGCTTGGCACTAGTGATGTTGCCTGACTTCACCAGAAAAGGCTAGGTGGCGAAGATGAGAAAGTGAGCCTAATTTTAGAAATAGTGCCTTTTGATACTAACCAGGAGCTTGAAACCTTGTGGAAAATCAGCCAAAGATGTTGGTTTAGTCTTTATTAGCAACTTGCAGCCATATTCAATGCAAAGGTGGCTGCACAAGTTACATTGTGTTGGGAATTGATGACAAGATTACTATTGCTTAGAAAGTCTTCTAAAAATCCTGCGCAGACCCTGGAGACTCCACCAAAATCTTGTGTAGGTGTTATTTTGCTAACTGTACTCAAGTACCTACCCAAAAGTGGGATTTCGTATGGTTGGAGAAGTTACCAAAAAGAGGGAATTTCTAGTCCTTCACTAGAACCAGCAAAGTTTGGCTAGAACCACTGGGTAATTCATAATGTCATTGCCAGGAAGCTGTCAGCAATGTCTAGAGCCACTCAAAGCTTGACAACTCACCCAAATCTACCCATTAGGCTACTGAGCAACTTTAATCCATCAACCCAAAAATTACAAAAATACCACTACACATATATATGTTATTTTTCTTTCATTTTTCAGTAGATTTAGAGAAAAAAAAAAAAAAGATCAAACACAAAAAACTCTAGTCTCCTTCTTATGTCCAGACCACCATCCTTCACGCAGCAGCTTCTTCACCTCCAATCTTTCATCATACACACCTAGCATCCCCGAAACCATCATTCACCTTCACATATTCTGCATTCCCAACATCGCAGGACAACCTCCAAGTTCGTGGGATAGTATGGTTGGAAGGTAGCATAATGTAGTTTCAGCCTTTTAATTTTTTTTTTTGAACATCAGAGGATCAAGTCAGGTGGTTAGCATAAGAAGAAGGGATCAGATCACCCACTTGCAAGCCCCCAAAAGGTTATCCTTCGTTCTCTCATCATTACTTTAAAACTTGTCCCTTTTGTCTTTGTGAAAACTTCATGGAGAAATTGTTGCATTTCATATTTGTATAATGAAGGTTTCTTACTACAAAGTAAGAGTGTTTGAGAGGGATAATAGAGGGCGGATCTATTGCCATTATTATTATGTTGCAATATTTTATGTATAGATGTGCCTTTCAAGTTGTAATCCTTAACTCTTATGTATTCTCTGCCCTTATCGCTTCTATAATGATGAACGCCTCCTCTTTGTCATTTTTGGTAGTTGCGTAATCATTCCTAGTTCTTGAAATTCCATCATCGGAACCCAGCTTTCTCTCTCTCCTCCTTTCAGCCTAGTCGAGTAATTTATACCCTTAGACTTTGTTAGAGAACTTACTGTTGTTCAACACCATTGGGCAGATCGAGATGACTCGCGGCATGTAGGATCTCGCATGTGAAACGAGTGCCACCATGAGGACCTTCCTCATCTTTTTGGGTGTCATCCTAGTCAGTTCGCACACCATCACCACTACTGACTCACCATCCTACATCACTAGCACACCCCAAACAAAAATGGCGACTTCACTGAGGAGGTCATCCTAGAGCTTTGTCTTATTCTACTCTTCAATAGTATATCATCTTCCACTACTGCAGGAATGGGATTTTCGAACCGAAATATCGGTCCAGATATATAGGAAATCGGTTTGAATATATATATCCGGACCGATATTGGTCCTTATAGTTGATCTGAAAAAACCTGGTACGAATAAGTCTAATATACAGACCGATGTAGAATCGGTTCGTA